AGAGTAGAGAGATACTTTAAAAGTAGAATCAATCTTCATAGAGCTATTGTATGGATCAAATAAAAAATAGATGTGAGGGCCGGCCCGGTGGCGCACTGCTATATTGCGCCGCTTGGGAGTGTGGTGGCGCTCCCGCCGAGGGTTCAGATCCCACATACAGACCGGTTCCCGCTCACTGGCTGAGCGAGGTGTGGGAGCAACACCGAGGGTTGTTATCCCGTTGCCGGTCCTGGTCCGGTACGGGGGCGACACTGAGGGTTGCGATCCGTTGCCGGACACAGAAAAAGACAAAAAAAAAAAAAAATAGATGTGAGGGCCGGCCCGGTGGTGCACTGCTATAGTGCGCCGCTTGGGAGTGTGGTGGCGCTCCCGCCGAGGGGTCAGATCCCACATACAGACCGGTTCCCGCTCACTGGCTGAGCGAGGTGTGGGAGCAACACCGAGGGTTGTTATCCCGTTGCCGGTCCTGGTCCGGTACGGGGGCGACACTGAGGGTTGCGATCCGTTGCCGGACACAGAAAAAGACAAAAAAAAAAAAAAAAAAAAAAAAAAAAAAAAAAAAATAGATGTGAATACAGTTTGCAAACATATTGGCTCTTCATTGATTAAACATTATCATTTTTATTTCTTTACGGATTTGTGGATTTTTAAAAGTTTGATATGACAGGCCTTAGCAGTGTTGATGACATTGCCATATTCAAGGTATTTTATTAATTTAGACTTTCATGCTTGAAAGTTAGGACAGCATCTTTAAATTTTCAGTGACTATTAGTGATCTTTTCCAGGAAAATATATAATATACATGAATACATAATTTTAACTTTTATCATTATTTTTTTTGACCGGTAAGGGGATCGCAACCCTTGGCACAGTGTTGTCTGCACCATGCTCAGCAAGTGAGCACATCGGCTATCCCTATATAGGATCTGAACCTGTGGCCTTGGAGCTACCAGTGCCGCACTCTCCTGAGTGAGCCATGGGGCCGGCCACATAATTATAACTTTTAACATTACTTTGTGTTAACTGTTAATTCAGTTAATATGTTATGATATCTTTTAAATTGTTTAGGTGCACAATTTAATAACATCTCATTTTTGTGTCATTTTCCCTAGTATTTATTCTAAAAAACTTAGTAAATTTGAAAAAGAATAATTTGAAAAGCAAAATACTGACAAGTATAACACAGAAAGAATCTAATCTCATTTGATATTCTGCATGTATGCATTTGAAAGGTCAGTTCTTGCTTTAAATTTATTACATACCACCTACCACCCAGCAATTTTTAATACCTACTTTATGGTGGTAACTATTGAGAATTACTGACATTCTAACTTATTTACATCTATTTTATATAGCTTCAGAACTCCCATTAATTCTCACTTAAATTATATAAAGCAGTCTCTTTTAGGCTGATAGAATTTGTTGAGAGAAAAATAGGTGGTGGATTATTTGCTGAACGAGAGTTGAATTAGGAACTGTATTTCTTTGTCTAGACTATTAAGGAGATTTGCATGTCTGTCAAATTAAACTTTTAGACTGAGAACAACTTAATTTCAAAAAATGCACTGAAGTTAATATTTAAGTCCAGAGTGCTAAAATAAACAACAGGAGTAGTACTTTCTTAATATTCTTTAACTAAAATTATCTTTAAAATTGATAATTTCTTTCTCTCAAAGTCTTATATAATTTTCTTTCCTTTTAGTTAAGATAAATCATAAAAAAATGATTACTATAGTCTGTTTTTAGAAAGTTTAAGATAAGGAACATATCTGTAATATGTACCTTTGGGTGAAAGCATTTCTCAGTTTTGCTTAGAGCTTTCTTTGTGCTTTCTAAAACTTCTAAACTTTACAAGTATAATCTGCTGTTTCAGTAAGTCCCAGATGAAAGATTTCCCTTGGAATTTAATTCTTTCTCAAGCTTTATCTGCTTCCTCTCCCCGTGCCACCCCCCAAAAAATGAATGTGTTTCATTTTTTTTTTATAACAAGAATTATGTAATTTACAATGACTCACTTTTTACTTGTGGAGTTCCAATCAACAAAGCAAACACACTAGGTATTTTATCACGTAATTTAATATTGGGAATTTGTCAAACAAGTGTTGGAGAGCTGGAAAAGCAAAAAAGGAACAGTGGGATAACATTTTCAGGAAGCAACTACCTCCCCTGGAGCCAGACGAACAAAGGGAAGACTCTGAGATAATCAGAACCTAGAAACTTGGAGAAAGGCCCCATGGAGTTGGGCTTAGACCTCAGAGGAAGAAGTGCTGCCCCTCAGAAATACTAATCTATCTTTGGGGGGGTGCCTTGACTGATTCTGAGGGTGCCAAAGTCAGCTGGGCCCTGGGGCCAGCTGCTGCTGTAAGGGGTTAAGAGCTGTTGCTGGGAGAATACTGTGAGACTCTCAAGCTAACAGGAAGGAGGACGTTCCTTTTCCCCTACTCCTGCTTTCCATTCTCCTCTAGAGATCCCATTTGGCAGACCTACAAGGACATCAGCTGGAAAGGAGAAATTTAGTTTGCAGAGTCAGCCCCAGTGTCACAAAGCTAAGCACAAACAGTATAGAAAGGTGGGTTGGTTTGGAGCTGAGAGATAATACCTCCTACCCAAGAATAGGGCTTGCCTTTTCCTTTGTACTTCATTTGGTTTTATTCTGTTTTGCTTTTTCTAATGTTCTTATTCTTGATTTGGGTATTTAATTCAGTAATTCTCTCTCTCCTTTTTTTTCTTAATTTAAGCACTGAAAGCTGTATTACTAGGTACTGTTTTCACTGTGTCCCACAAGTTTTGATATGTGTTTTCATTATTGTTCAGTTTTAAATATTTTCTAAATTCCATTATTTTATCTTTTATTCATTTGTTACATTTCTGGTTATCTTTGAGTTACAGATTTCTATTATAACTACATTGTGAAGAGAGAATATGGTCTTATGACACCAATCTTTTGAAATTTGTTGAGACTTGCTTTAGGCCCAGTATGTCATTATGTTTTAAAGACTGTTTTATATTGTGTTCAAAAAGAGTGTGTTTTCTGATGTTGACTTCTATTCTCAAATTTTTTCCTTTAGATCAAGTTTTTTAAATGTT